CTGAGTTTGATCCCCAGTACCAAAAAAAATAAAATAAAATAAAAACTGGAACGATATAGAGGAGATTAGCATGGCCCCTGCACAAGGATGACATGCAAATTCGTGAACCATTCCATATTTTTAGCCAGAAAAAAATTTACTACAATGAAGACACATATACTCCCCCTTGCTTCAAAAACACTTATCCCATTGTTGCCACTTTCATTTTTTTGTCTTGTTTTGGTACCAGGAATCGAACTTGGGACCTTGCGCTTGCAAGGCAGGCGCTGGAACCACTGAGCTAAATCCCCAGGTTTTTTTTTTTTTTGAGACAGAGTATCACTATGTAGTTCAGGCTGGCCTCAAACTTGCAGTGATCCTTCTGCCTCAGCCTCCCTAGTGCTGGGATTCCAGGGATGTGCTGCCATGTCCAGCATGTTGCCACTTTCTAAAATAGTTCTGGAAGTCCTCTTTTATGTCTTTACAAGGTATGATCAAAAATACAGTGAATGCTAAAAAAAAAAAAATACAGTGAATCCTGCTGCTGAGTGCCATCCATAGGAAAGGCAGGGTCATAAAAACTTAAGTGTTTCCTCTTGCATCTCATTTACTGGATCTGGCACCGTGTGATTTCTGGCTCTTTCCCAAAGTCAAAATGACCATGAAAAGTAAATGCTTGAATTGATGCAGGACACCAAGGGAGCCACAAGTGTGACTAAAGACATAGAGAACTTCCAGCACTGCTTCAGAAAGTGGCAAGAACTATGAGATAGAGCATTTGAAGTAAGGGGGAGTATTTTGAAGGGGATTAATGGCAGTGTATCTTTTACTATAATACATTTTTTAAGTTTAAACATCCACAGTATTTTTCTATCACACTTTTTAAAAATTACACTTATGTGGCTGCAGAACAGGGTGCAGAAATTGTGAAGGCAGAGGGTTAGGATATGCAGGTCCAGGTTCAGGACCTCACCAGAGTGTGCTGACTATGGAATAGGAAAAGAAACCAAGGATGACAAGGACCTGGAGACCAGGGTGTTTATTAGCTCATACTGAGTGGGCTGTGGATGTCTCCAGGTAGCAGCACAAGTAATGCAGAGATGAGGCCTGAGAAACAGTAGTCAAGCTCCCTAGGGGGGGTGCAAAGTTGTGACACTATAGTAGACATAACTTTTATTTATCTTTACAGTGCTGGCGATTAAACCCATGGCCTTGCACATTCTAGACAAGCGCACAACTGTTGAGCTACACCTTCAGTCTTGCATGGCTTTTTAAGGGGTGAGGGGACAGCAGTTTAAGAATTGGGTTTTGAATTAAACCAATTCTAGAGTGGCAATGATAAGTGGGCCAGAAAGCAGCTGAATCTACAACCAGGATGTGAACTCATCAGCTGCTTCCTTCTGAGAGGTTCAAAAGATGTGTTGCTCTCCAGAGAACTCTGAGGTGCCAGTAAGAATGGAGACTAAAGGCTGCTGGGGACAAGTTGGGAATGCATAGGTGAACTTTTATGATTCAACCAAAGGAATTCCAGAGACCAAAGTAGGGAAATGATTAGGAAAAGATGTGTCACAGAAGGGTTCAGGTCAGCAGGTACATGGGAGGAGGCTGAACTGCAAGGGAGAAAAGCATAAGCAGCTAACTTTGGTGGCAATTAAAAATGGCATATGGGCTGGCGATTTAGCTCAGTGGTTCTGCCGCCGCCTTGCAAGCACAAGGACCCGAGTTTGATCACTGGTATCAAAAAAAAAAAAAAAAGGAAAAATGGCATAAAGTGCATGGATAGCTGAAGCAGCATTGTGTGATCGTAAGGAAAAATTGGGAGTGTTAAAAGTTTTGTGTTCCCACTACCTAGCTGTGTGGCTAAGAGATGTTAGTTAGCAAGTCAGTACACCTTTTACTAGGGTATTTTTGTGACAAGTGACAAAAAACAAAAGAAAAAAAAAAACTAATGTAGCTTAAACAATTATTAGAACTTACTACTACAACCCGTAACTGGACATCTCTGAGGAAAGGCAGCCAGGACTAACTCACTCATAATCTTGAGCCCTGAGTGATTATCATCAAGCACTCAGGTTTTGTATTTCTCTGTTGAAGTGTTGAGGGTGGTGCCTTCATCCTAAGATTGGGTCCACCCTGTGGTCACATCATGACTGCCAACAATACTGGGGACTGTATGTTTCCTTTTACTCATCTAGAAAGTCCGTTTTGGTAATGTTATCAAAAAGGTGGAAATAATCTCTTCTATTAATTCAGCAAACCTCTTCTGTGTCTCATTTGAGCAATGTATCCAATCCTGAACCAGTTCCTGTAGTCTGGGAAATATCATGTGCTGAATGGTTTGGGCATGCGTTACCTAAACCAGTCGCTGTGGCAAAAGGGAATTACCCTGATTAGTTTGGAGCAGGTAAGGCCAACTCCTGCTGTTGAGGCAGAGTCAGTTTCCCCTGAAGGACACTGGCTGTTGGGGAAGGAATACAACCAATAAAAACATGAGTGCTGTAGGAAGGAGGAAAGAAAGAATTAATGTAGTCGATTCCTAAGTACCTCCACCTCACTACCTCATTGAGCTGATGTGAAGATTAAGCCTGTGTGAGGATCCCTGGCTTCTTCCATAAATGATTCTTGGAGGTAGATCTACAGAAGAAAGCTGAAGAAAAGAAAGAAAATAGGGGAGGGAGGTAAGCAGAGAAATTTGGGAGAAGGGTCCAAAATCTAACTAGAAGAGATAGCAGAGGTAGAGGGGGCTGGAATAAGAACTGGATATACAGGGGCCAGGGATTTAGCTCAGTGGTTCTGCCACTTGCCTTGCAAGCACAAGGACCCGAGTTCGATCTCCGGTACCGAAAAAAAAACTGGGTAGACGGAACACACCTGTCTCTGAATTCTCAACAGAAATAAATATTAATACTTTTTAGTACCTCATACGTCCCCCTTTCCCAAGAGCTGATGAGGACTGAATTGGTTATCTCTGTATCTGCCTACAACCAAAAATGATCAGTAGCTCCTAGCTGTGAACTGACTAAAGACAGACTCACCGCAGAATTCAAGACCTTCGGGAATACCAATGCAGCCTATCCTAGCCTCATTTCTAATTATCTGTCTATACAAATCTCTGCTCCAGCCATGTTGGACTTTTGGCTGCTTCAGGATGGCCCCTCTGCCTGCTCTCCTTCCACCTCCGTGCAAACATTTCCTTTGCTTGGAATGTTGCTCTCCTGTGTTTTCTGGCTGAACTCCTCTTATCTTCAAAGTCAAGTTCAAATTCTTGTTCTTTGATGTGGCCCTCACCAGTCCTTTCAGCCTCAAGTCCTTAGGGTTTCCCCACCAGGGTTAAGCCAGGATTAGTAGTGTGCTTATCTTGCCTACTCTCTGTTGTCAGATTCCTGAGGACACTTGACTGTGTTCTTTCTTTATTCTTTATTTGCTAATTTTTTATTTTTTTTATTTTTTTGGTACTGGGGCTCGAACTCAGGATCTTGCGCTTGCAAGGCAGGCAACCACTGAGCTAAACCCCCGGCCCCTTTGCTAATTTTTTAAAAAGAAAAAATGTGAGGCTTGGGATGTTGCTCAGCGGTAGTGTTTATCTAGCATGCACAAGGAAGGCCCTGGGTTTGATTCCAACACCACAAAAAAAAAAAAGAAAAGAAAAGGAAGGAAGGAAGCAAGGAAGGAAGGAGGGAGGGAGGGAAAGGGAAAGAGAAACAGAGATGAAAGAAAACAATTTTCAGGTGTCTACTGTGCACTAGTCACTACACATACAGCAGTGAATAAGGGAATAAGGGAAGCACTTCATACATACTGGTTGACTTTAATGCAGCTGCAATGGGACTTGTGCTGCCTGATCAGATTCTGGCTTGGGGTTAAACTGCACTTCACATTCTCCCTGTTGGAACCATTTTTGTCAAATTCCTTGCCTTAGTGGGCCTTGGACTATATAAAGGTTGAGTTTCTACTGCCAGAGTGAAGCAAAGAATTGAGACAACTAAGTGAGACAGTTCATAGATTATTCAGGGAAAAAAATCTGCCTTTGAAATTACTGAGCCGCTTCAGTTTTTATTCCAGTATCATACAAAGCACTGTCATCTGAATTATTTAGCAGTGGCTTTCAAATCTACTTTGCCATGACTCACAGTAAAAAAAAAATACATTTTACATTTTCCAGGTCATATGTTTTTTTCATTCATTCCTTCAACAAGTAAGTATTGAACACCCACTGAATGCCAAATTCTATTCTAAGTGGAGTACACTTGTGAAAGAAGCAAAAGAGAAAGAACAGAGAGAAAGACAACACTTGCCTTCAAAGACTTACATGCTAGTGGGACAATAAAATAAGTAAAATACATGACAAACACACAGAAACAGAAGGTTCATGAAACAATATCACCAATTACTACATGCAGTGGACTCTGATGTTTTGTTTCCAAAAAAAGTGCTGGTCACCCTGTATTAAACCATTAGTTGGCTTATCAGGAGGGGATTGAGACTTATAGTTTGTATGGCAGAGCATGTGTTGTTCTTACTTTACAGACTGAGACATGCAGAGAGAGAGAGGTTAATTGATTTACACAAATTCACACACAACCCCAAGGAAGTGATGGTCCACTGCCACCCCTCATTATCCTCTATAGTGCTGCATCTGGCTCGGGGCCATTTCTCTTTGATTGTGCAACCTTGACCTTTGCCTGGAGCAGCTCTGCATTCCTTTGCCAGGTAAAGTCACAGGATTATTTCTAAGCCTATCCAGACCTCAACATGCTCCAGGACTCCTCTCTTGTGCCACCATTGCTTCTGGCGTGCTTAATGACTGCTGGTGCGCCAGAGCAGGAGCCTCTGCACCATTACCTCCACTCCACAACCAGGTGTCACCCAGCTTCTCATCCCCTACAGCATAGTGCTTGACAGCAGTATTAATAAATCCACATGGAATCTATAAGTGACACAAAGCAGAGAGGTGGCGGGAAGTGCTTTCCAGCTAGAACTGCAGGGTTTTGACAACATCTATTTAAAAGGCTAAGAAAGGATACCACTGCTAAAAAGATCTCTTTATTTGGATTACAAAAATCACACCTGTAGTGGAAGAAGCACATGAAAAAATCCTACAAATATTTTATCTCCCCAATATCAGTAGATATAGAACTATGTCAGTATGTCATAATCCACAGAAAAGAAACTTAGGAAGATTCAAGAAAATGAGGGCTACTATAGTTCAAATTCTTCAAAGGAAAAAAAATCTACATAGCATCATGCATGGTGGTACATACTTGTAATCTCAGCTCCCAAGAGACAAGATAGTAGCTCACTCTCCTAGCATGTTCGGGGGCCTAGATTCAATCCAAGTACCTTGAAAAAAACCTAAATGGCACAGCCAATTCTATAGTTATCCACCCTGGCTTCACTTAGTTTGGGCAGGACAAGGCTGTATAGTTGGTGAAAAGATTTAGGAGAAGAAATTATGAAAAGGGAAGAAACTATGACTAAATATTAACTAAACCTAGAATTCTAAGTTTAAATTTTGCCCTACTACTAGAGATGATGGGGAAGGTCAGTTATAGAAATGTATACAGGGGGCTGGGGATTTAGCTCAGTGGTTCCGGCACCTGCCTCACAAGCACAAGGTCCTGAGTTTGATCCCCGGTACCAAAAAATAAAAATAAATAAAAAATAAAGCAGAGTGTGGTGACACACACCTGTAATCCTAGCACTTGGGAGGCTGAGGCAGGAGGATCGTCTTGAGTTCAAGCCCAGCCTGGGTTCCACAGTGAGTTCAAAGCCAGCCTGGACTACACAGTAAGACCCTGTCTCAAAAAACCAAAATAAATAAATAAACAGGACTGGGGAATGTAGCTCAGTGCCAAGGACTGGGTTCAATCCCCAGTATCAAACACACACACGTGGGCTGGGTGTGCACTCAGTATGTACATGGCCCTGGGTTCAATCCCTAGGATGGGGACACCCCCGCAAAAAACCTGTATCTGCGAGATAGTATAAATACAATTTCAATCATGAAAATTTTGAACAAAATGTGTTACAGAATTTTCTAACCCATCATTTTCAGACTTTATTTTGAATTAGATACTAATTTTGTAGGACTAGGTAGGGTAGGGTAGTGGGGACTATATATGTAAGTAAGCACCCTAGATTCTGTTAAGGCTAGGTCAAGCTGAACTTGTTTAATCTACTCCTTCCTAAAGTGATTAAAAAGGGTTTCAACTTGCATAATTTTTTAAATGTATTTATTGTTGGTACTGAGGATTGAACCCAGGGCCTTCCACATGCTAGGTAAGTGCTTTACCATTAAGCTACATCCCCAGCTTTTTTTAAAATTTTGAGATAAGGTCTCACTGAGTGGCCCAACCTGCAATCCTCCTGCCTCAGCCTCCCAAGTAGCTGCGATTACAGTGCACTGTGATGCCTGCCTTAACTTGCCTAATTTTAAGTGTTTAGATTTTTTTTTGTTTTGTTTTTGTTTTTGGTACTGGGGATCAAACTCAGGACTTTACGCTTGCAAGGCAGGCAGTGGCATCACTGAACTAAATCCCCGGTTTTGTGTAGATTTTTTTTAAAAAGACAATAAAACCACACAGGTACACCATTTATACATTAAGCATTTTACAAAATTTTTTTTTAATTTTTTTGGTACCGGAGATTGAACTCAGGACCTTCCGCTCTCGAGACAGGTGGCAGCACCACTGAGCTAAATCCCTGGCCCTGAGATGTACAAAATTTGAAGCCACCACATTTCTTATTGTTTTTAATAGCATTTGTTTATAAAACATATTAAAAGACTGGTTAGTAATTTAGTCTTGGGGTTTCTTTTAAAATGGAGAATAGGGGAACTAGTTAGGAGTTCACAAAGAATATTTCTGCATGATATGTTGACTCTAAATTCAAAAGACAATACCACATCAATCCTATAAACTATATATGAATTCCTTATTTAAGGTATTGGTTAACATTTTTTTAAAATCCTCATTTCTTTAGTAAGTACTATAAATGGTTCTTGAAAGCCAATTGTAGACATGGTATACTCAGTCCAACTTGTTGGGGTCTGGAGGCTCATTTTTATGTGACTATCCAATTTAGAGTTAAATGGCGTTACAAAAAAATTAAAGTCATGGGCAGCATAATCAATTCCTCAAATGACAAAGCTTCCAAGCTCCCATCATTCTGGTTCCCCTTCTTTTCACTTTCACTTACATACTCCTTTCTCTTAAAGAAGCAAAAAAATACGTAAGTTCACCAAAATTCTGAAAGTCAGTTTGTACAGTAGTGAATGAGAGTAGCTTTGGCCTTTGAAATTACAGTCCCTTTCATCACAGGTATTTTCTTCATTCTGTGTCAAGGCGAGGTAAAACAGGAAGAATAAGATTCCCAAATGCAGAGTCTTGAGTTATGAAGTATCCAGATGAATGTGCATGAGCATGCTGAGATTAAAAAAAAAAAAAAGCAATTAAGCTATTAAGAATCACAGTTTTTAAAAAAGGAATCACAGAGATGGCATTACAGTTACTTATCCTTTCTGAGTGCTTGAGACCAAATTTAAAAAACTCAGTTATGTTGTTTTGTTTAAATACACAGGAAATGGACAACACAGAATTCGGATTAACAAATTGCACCAGGCACTCTATCCCCTCATCTCCTCTGAGAGTCAAGCGATGCGTCAAAGATATGAATTGCTCTGTTCTTTGGAGAAAATCTAGCATCATGGGTCCCAATGTACTCTGCTTTTGGTCAGCTAAGCAGGAGCTTGAGAAGGAAGGGTAGTGGTTGGACAGAGAGGAGAGGCAGAAAAGATGGTGATTACTGATTAAAAAATAGCAACAGAGGCCGGGGATTTATCTCAGTGGTGCCTCCACCTGCCTCACAAGCGCAAGGTCCTGAGTTCAATCCCTGGTACCAAAAAAAAAAATAGCAACATTTTTATTTGGTACCAGGGATCAAACTCGGGTACTTGTGCTTGCGCAGCAGGCAGCAAAACCACTGAACTAAATCCCCGGCCATTAGCAACATTTTTAGAGAATATTGGAATATAAATAACAGAAAACCACCAGTAATTTCGGTCATTAAAAAAAAAAAAGAAGAAGAAGAAGCTGTTTTTAACTTGTCTAAAGGGAGATGGATCTTTATGATGTCCCTACCAATTCTGGGATTCTTTTTTTTTGGTACTGGGGAATCAAACTCAGGATCTTGCGCTTGCAAGGCAGGTGGTGGCACCACTAAGATAAATCCCTGGCCAGTCTGGGATTCTAGTTTTAAAAAGCATAGGCAATTACATTATGCCAACAACACAAATCAGTATCTCATCCAAGGTCTCTAGGAATCAAATTATCCAAGATGAATGTAACATGAAAACTATTTATTACTCTAAAGAATGGTATGCTTTTGAACTCAGGAAATAACACATTCTAATCCCATGTTAAGAATTAGCCAAAAAAAAAGAATTAGCCTTCAGTGGGCCGGGGATTTAGCTCACTGGTTCCGCCACTTGCCTCACAGGTGCAAGGACCCGAGTTCAATCCCTGGTACAAAAAAAAAAAAAAGAATTAGCCTTCAAAGAACTGGCCATCAAAAAAAATCCAAACAAAAAATTTAAAACCAGATGATATAATGATACATACTATTAAACTAGCCAGGTCAATTTTCTAGATCATCCTGTCATCCAAATATCCTAAACTCTTTTGTGCACAGGCAATCCCTTGGTGGGTACAGCACAAAATCAATCATGATCGTGTCAACACCATAAAAGATACTTTCATTACTGCTGTATTAGTCCTTCAAATCCTTTGGGCATAACTGAACATCAGCAAACCACTGCAATTATGTGTGTGTGGAACATTTTTATTGATAGTGCTCCACTGAAATACAAAATAACTACTGTGCTGGCTTCTTAGACCCAGGAAATCTCCAATGAGACAAGAATGTCAGTTCACTTTGCTTACCTGCAAAGCTGCCTTCTGTTGGGCTGCAATATGCTGCTGCTCAGCATGATCTCGGAAGTCCTTATTAAGAGAGGGCCTGGAGAGCGCAATGCTGAAATGGAAATCTTGGTTACTTCACTGCTTAAGGCAGATGTATCCTGACCTTTTTGCCTTTAATGGTAGTAAAGGTTTTTTTTGGTATCGGGGATCGAACTCGGGACCTTGCACTTTTGAGGCAGGTGGCGGAAACACTGAGCTAAATCCCCAGCCCCATAGTAGTAAATTATTTTTACTTGGGGTATATATAATATGGTGCATAAAAAACATGTTTTGATATTTATATGCATTGTGAAATGGTTAAACTAATAAGCACATCCATCACCTCATATACTGATTATTGTAAGAATATTAAAGATCTACTCTTAGCAATTTTCAAGTATACATCACATCATTAACTACAGTCACTATGTCATGCAATAAATCTCCTGAAGAGGGGTTCTTTCGTATTTTGGGGGGGGCCACTGGGACTCACACCCATCCATACTTGCCCTCTGAGCTACAGTCCCAGCCCCTTGTTGTATATTCCTTACAGGAATAAAGCAGACCTTCCAAAACTAGTCTTTTTCCCACAACTTACATCAATTTATATGAAGAAAGCTTATGATATTTACTGAGATTTCAAATGATCTACTTTTTAATATTTATAATTGATGGCTGCCTCCTCCCCCTTTTTTTGAGATAGGGTCTTGCTGTGTAGTTCACGCTGGCCTCGAACTCACGCCACCCTCCTGCCTCAGCCCCCTGAATGCTGGGATTACAGGCATGCACCACCACGCCAGGCAGGCCCCTTACTTTCAAACAGATTGAAGTACCATAATTATTATGATATTTATTAATACTATATTTTAAAACAGTTAAAAACAAATCATATGTATTCATCAGTAGTAAAACCATACACTTTTGTTTGTATAATAATTTAAAAATTACCTTAGCCATATTCCACATAAGTTGAACTATTCTGAATGAATAACCAAATTTAGAGGTACATATAAGATTATAGAGCAGCTACTAGGTGTTTAGCTATGTGTAAGCACTAGGAGTATAAAAATGTGCAAGACAGCTCACAGAAAACAGGAATTCTGATGAAATATGGCACATGCTATTACAGGAATTAATAAAGACTCTCAACATAAGTAGGGTACTGGTCATGGAAAACATTATAAAATATAGACTTTATCCTAATAGTAAAAGGAGACCTCCAAAGAGTGTTAAGCAGCACAACACGTTGAAAAATATGGCTAAGAAGAGCACCAGAAAATAACAATACCTAGCTCCAGGATGATTTGTTGAAGATTGGTTCTGCATAAGTAATTTTCTTTTTTCTTTGTCCAGTTCTGCCAAGATTGCAACTCTGTTTTTGTTTTGAAAACCTAAAAAGGGGGGAGGGGGAAATAAGTAACATTTTAGACCTATTTTATATACCTACTCCATTTAGAAGCTGGAAAACAAAAATTCCTATTCTCTAACATGGTGATAAAGTCACTAATAAATATTTCTCCCAGCAACTTCAAGATCATGATACACAGAGCCGGGTATGTGTCCCATACCTATCAGCCCAGCGCTCTGAAAGGCTCAAGCCTCCAAGAGGATCACAAGTTCAAGATCAGCCTTGGCAACAGGGCATGGCAGTGCACTCAGGAGGCTGAGGCATGAGGATTGCTAGGATTTTCTGGGCAGCCTGGGATACACATTGAGTTCAAGGCCAGCCTGAATTACATAGCAAGACTGTCTCCAAAAAAAACGTATGTGTTGCAGCATTTGTTTCTCTTGTTGTTGCTATTGTTTTCTGAAACAGGGTCCAGGGTCTCACCATGTAGTCCAGGCTGCTCTCAAAGTCCCGGCAATCCTCATCCCCCAGCCTCCCCAGTGCTAAGGTTCTAGGTGTGCGCCACCACCACACTGTTGGGTGCAGCTTTTTTTTTTTTTAACAAAAATTTTAGGGCCCCAAGTGCTATGGGGACAGACCAGTCTTTTTTGGGTTTCTTTGTGGGTTTTTTTGGTACTGGGGATCGAACTCGGATCCTTGAGCTTGCGCAGCAGGCGGCGAAACCACTGAACTAAATCTCCGGCTGACCAGTCTTTATTCTGCAGAGTCATAACTGTGTGTGTGGAGATTTTCTTAGCCCTCAAATTCAGGCCTTTTTATGAAAGCCCCTTTCATGGAGGAAAAACACCAGGAATACTCTGATAAAAATAATATTTCTTGGGCCAGGGATTTAGCTCAGTGGTTACACCGCCTGTCTCGCAAGCACAAGGACCCGAATTCAATCCCCAGTACCGCCCCCCCCAATTTCCTTTTTCTTAACTGCTTTCATTCAGAAATGACACATAATCTTCAAGAAAGATGTCAAACAATTGCAACTGACCAGAAAGCAATTCTGATACTGACAACACAAGAGATGCCTCTTTTATCTTATCAAATACTTAAGACTGCGACAACTCTGACCTTCAAACTTACACAAGATCTAGAGCAGGGGTTTCAAATCCTGAAAAGAGTAGCATCATGTTTGAAAAACATGAATTAAATGGCAACATCTAAACTCTGAGTGCACACTAAACCCTCAGATTCCTAGTCCTCTGGAAACATCTGGGATCTGGCAACAAGGGATCTGTACGCCCCCATGGCGGCAACTGGAACGAAGGAATAGTTCTCCCCTTTAGCTGGGCAACTTGTTACGTCCTTAGCATTAGGATGAGTTCATATTATCTGTAGACAGTTACATTTCTGATCCCTATTACAGGAAAAAACAGAAGGATTAAAGGACTAAAAAAGAGAACAGGGGAGAGGGGGTCTCCAGCTCTGGAGACAATAATCACTAGGCTGGAAGAATGAATGAGCGGAGAAGACCGAAGCAACCAGAACAGGCAGCCATGTGAGGGATTCTGAGAATTATGTACTGACCATGAAGAGGAAGAAGTGGTAGGAGGGGCAGATCTCCCAGGGATGGTGCAGGGTGTACAAGGTGCATTTGTGCTGAGACTGACCTGAGCTAGAAGTAGCTGAGGCTTGCAGTTTGTTTGGGGGTTGCACTGGGGTTGGTTTGGGGTGGGGTGGGGATGGATCGGGTCGGGTTGGGTTGGGTTTGCCTTGGAGGTTGGAGAGTGGCACAGTGCCTGGGAGTGAACGCAGGGATCACCTAAAATGCAGTGTTTTCAACTAAACCTCTTAAATTGGACATTGCCTTGCTGGCTATGGACAGGATTGGGGGCAAAACGTGTTTCTGTGCCAAGTCCATTTTAAGAATTTGTCATCTCCCATTTTCTTTCTTTTGTGGTACAGTACTGGGAATCGAACTCTGGGGTGCTCTACTACTGAACTACATCTCCAGCTTCTTAATTCTTTTTTTTTTTGAGACAGGGTCTCACTATGCAGCCCTGGCTGGCCTCGAACTTAGGATCTTCCTGCCTCAGCCTCCTGAGTAGCTGGGATTATAGGTGTGCACCACTGACTTTTGCCCATTTCCCTGCTCTGCACACTAATGATGTCACCAATTTCTAGTAATACTGGTAGCAGACTCCTCCTTTTGAATAATTTACAGTACATTCTGGTACTTCTGAGAGATGGTTTTATGAGCCTTTTGGGTGATTCTTCATCCTAATTCTAAGCCCTCTTTTCCTCCATCTCTTCTTAGTTAAGTCTTCTTGGGGATGAATATCCATAGGGCCTTCCATGGCACACATCATTACTTGCTGATCCACCCTCACAGACAGGAATGTCTCAGAAGTCTTCTATGTAAGCAAAGATTTAATACAGCTTTGAGAAACAGGAAAAACCAAACTGTATGTATTATTCTCTATTCTCACTCAATACAACACTTCTCACCCTAGATGTGTGAGGATTTTTCTCCACAGGAGAAGCAATTCTCCAGTAGCGTCAAATCCCACAAGGCTGAGGCCACATGACTGCCACTCACTTTGGACACCAATGGCAAGTAGTAGATGGTCACCTACACTTCTGACATCCTAGCTATAAATCGGGGCTCCCACAAGCCCCCTCCTTTAATTTGGTAGAATGTCTCACAGAAGAACTCAGGAAAACACTTCCCTTAAATTTACTAGTTTATTAATAAAGGATTTTTACAAAGGTCAGAGACAAACAGCTACATAAAGAGGTGGATCAGGCAGGACATGTGGAAAGGGAATTAGAGCTTCCATGTCTCTCTGTCATGCCATCCTCCAGGGACTGTCACATGTTCAGCGTCCAGATCCTCATATGAACCATGTCCTTCTGGGATTTACAGAGGCTTCCTTACACAGGCGTGACTGATTAAACCACTGGTGATCAACTCAACTTTCATCCTTCATACACCAAAGTTCCAACCCTCTGATCACATAGCTGGTTCCTCTGGCAACTGGCCCCCATGCAGAGGCACCCAGGAGCCCACCAAGAGTCACAGGAACTGTTGTCAAAGACCAACTAGCAGAATAAGATTCTTCCAGTTCCCCATTACTCAGGAAATTACACTTACAAATGAGTTCCATTCAGGAGTAAGTCGGATTCATTCATAAGTCCAACAAAGTGAGTCTTACACACCTTGAACACAAACACTGTAAAGCATAAAAAAGCCAAACACACACAAAAATATTGTCAGTAAACTATTTTTACTTTTATAGTTACCTTAAAATGGTAAGGTAAACAAGTGAGCTATTTCCATGATTTGTTCGCATCTATGAATGTCTGTATTGCAGCATCTATTCAAATTTGTGAAAGTTTGCACCTCGACCCTTGTAAGTTGGGGGTTTTAGGAGCTCTACACCAGGAACCACAGTCAAAGACCAAATATGTATTATACCATAATATCACAACAGCCAAATCCTAAGAATGTACTACTTACACAACTAACTGGTCATTTCTAAAGGACAGTAAGATGTTTCCCTACCATAAGATTCAGTTAAAAAAAAAAAAAAAAAAGAACAGTAGTAGGAAATATTAAAGTTGCAATCAATGAAAAATTCCTCCCAGGGTCTCCGTGTCAGACTCTATAAAGTATCACCACCTGATAAACAGCTGTTACTTGTCTAGGGTAGTTTGTGTAAAGTCTCTAAAGGTAGGCAAATTAATCCATGTTAAATAAAGGACTAAAGTACAGTACCCACCCCACCAAAAGGAATACCCTGCAAGACATTCAAGTGGATACCTGGAACTTCGGACAGCACCAAACCCTAAATACCAAGAGAGTTGATCAGATAACCCAAAAGCCTAAGGGATCAACAGGTAGGTAGCACATGTAGCATGGATAATGGGGACGAAAGGGATGATTCACTTCCCTGGCAAGAGGGCACAAAATTTCATTGCACTACCTGGAAGAGTGTGCAATTTAAAATTTATAAATGGTGTATTTCTAGTTGGGCATAGTGGCACACACCTGTAATCTAAGCACTGGAGAGGCTGAGGCAGGAGGATCACTTCTAATTTGAGGCCAGCCTGGGCTACATAGTGAGTTCAAGATCAGTCTGAACTCTATAATGAGTCCCTGTTTCAAACAACAAACAAACATTGGGCCGGGGATTTAGCTCAGTGGTTCCGCTGCCTGCCTTGCATGCAGAAGGACCCGAGTTCGATCCCCCATACCAAAAAAAACAAACAAACAAAAAAACTGTATTTCTGGACTTTTCCATTTAATATTTTTGGGCCATGGTTGACCTTAGGCTGAAATTACAACTGAAACCACAAATGAAGGAGGACGACAGGCCAGAGATTTAGCTCAGTGGTTCTGCCGCCTGACTCACAAGCGCAAGGTCCCAAGTTCAATCCCCAGTAACAAATAAAAAGATTTCAGAAGGAGGACGACTGTAATCCTCAAAGGCTCCTTTCAGGTCCAACACATGAAGGTTCCATAATTTCCCTCAAATATCTGCTCCTCTGAAAATTCTCAGCTATCTTAACATTTGTGATAGTTATGCCTGTGAAGGGCAATGTTACAGTAACCTATGCCATATGTAATAACGGAAACTTTGTCAAATATTGTTAAGTAAACATCATTAGTAATGCAATATATAATTACAAGTCCTACTGACTTAGAATCACAAATGACAACTGTCTGGCAGGGGTAGAGAAGTGAGGGCAGAAATAAAGCGTACCACAATTCTGACCCCAACACCATTTTGTGTGCAGCTGTCTTAATTCACTGTTAACATTTTCTTTAAACCACAATGGAGATAAGATTCCCAGCTTTAAAGATAAGGCTGGTAAAACAACTATCTTGAGGAGCAGAAATGTTTTGTCTTTTTCAGATATTTTTAAATACCACACTCGCATTTAATGGCCATGTCTCCCCAGACTCCACCATGGAGAAGATCACTCTTCTGCAGATACTGATAAGGTTTGAGTTCCAGGCTATAGTACTCTTCTCACAGACTTTCTGAAATC